TGGCTAGAGGCACTGGAAGTGCCCTGTACACTAGTCCCAGCATACAGTTTACTATTAACGGTTCAATATATTTTTTTCTGTAACTATACAAAAGGTTACTTTTTAAACAAAGTTATACTATACAACTTTTTTTTTCACTTAACAATGAATTTGAACACCTTTCAGTGTTGACATGACTAGACCTATTTCACTTTTTAATGTCTACATTGTATTCAAATCCCCTATTCTTGAATATTTGTTGTTTCTATTATAACAGCAGCAGAAGCAGCAACAAAAACTGCAGCAAATATTTGTGTAAGAATTTCTGTAGGATACATTATTGGAAGTTGAATTTTTGGTAAAAAATATAAGCACATTTTAATGACACCAACACAAACAAAAATAAACAGAAAGGCTACATCAAACTGAAAAGCATCTGCACTGCAAAAGAAACAACAGAATGAAAAGATAACCTATAGATTGGATGGGAGTGTTTGCAAACCAGATACCTGATAAGGGGTTAATCTCTGGGATATGTGAGGAACTCCTACAATTCAATACCAAAAAATTAATAACCTGATTTTTAAATGAGCTAGGGACTTGAGTGGACATTTCTCCAAAGAAGATATACAAATGGCCAATGGGTATTTGAAAAGATGCTCGATCATTAGGAAAATACAAATCAGACCACAATGAGATAACACCTCACATCTATCAGGATGGTTATTATTAAAAAATCAAAAGACAACAACTGTTGTTGAGGCTATGGAAAGATTGGAATCCTTGCACACTGTTGAAGGGAATGCAAAATGGTGCAGCCACTATAGAAAAAGTATGGTGATTCTTCAAAAATTTAAAAATAGAATTACCATATGACCCAGCAATCCCATTTCTGGGTATTTATCCAAAATAATTAAAATTAGCATCTTGAAAATTTATTAGCTTCCCCACGTTCATTGCAGCACTATTCACAGTAATCAAGATGTAGAAACAACCTAAATGTCCATTGACAGGTGAATAGATAAAGAAAGTGTGGTATATACATGCAATAAAATATTATTTAGTCTTAAAAAGAAGAAAATTCTGCGGTATGCTACAACATGGATAAACCTTGAGGACATTATGCTAAGAGAAATGAACCAGTCATAGACAAATAGTGCTTAATTCCACTTCTATGAAATATGTAAAATAGTCAAATTCATGGGCTGAAGAGTGGAATGGTGGTTGCCAGGGGCTGAGGGAAGGAAAATGGGGAGTTACTAATCAAGAGCATAAGTTTCAGGTAGGCAAGACAAATAAACTTTAGAAATCTGCTGCATAACACTGTACCTTGTACCTATAGTCAACAATAATATATTGTTCACTCAAAAATCTTTTAACAGGGTAGATATCATGTTAACTGTTCTTACCAAAATAAAATGAAATTCAAAGCAAAAGTACAAAGTGGCTGCAGCATTTTGCGTTCCAAACAGAAATGTATAAATGTTCCAGTTTTTTTAAATCCTCATCAACACTTGGTATTGTTTGTCTTGATTACAGCCATTGTAGTAGTTGTGTAGTGGTATCTCATTGTGAAAATTTATTTGCATTTTCAAATGTTGAGTGTCTTTTTGTGTGCTTGTTGCCTATCCATATGACTTCTTTGGTGAAACATCTACTCAAATATTTGCCCATTTATTAAACACGGTCTCCTTACTGTTGAGTTGTAGGAGTTCTTTATATGTTCTGGATACAAGTCCATTGTGGGATAGTTTGCAAATGTTTTCTCTCACCACCCCCCCCCCCAAATATATAAACACATTTTAAATGGTAATGAATATTATCAAATTACTCTCCAAAGAGGAAGCATCAGGCTATAGTCTCACCAACAGCATATGGGAATGCTGGTTTCTTAGCACCCCCACAAACAAAGGATATTAATCTAAGAGATGAAAAATGACATCACACTGTTTTTAATTTGCCTTCCTTTTATCACTAAGAGGAGCATCTCATCATGTTTATTTACCAGTGATTTTCCTCTTCTAAAAAAGCATGCTCTTACTGAAACCTCGCATTTTTCAATTTTGCATCCTTTCAGTCCTTGTCATTATTAAGCATCCAGGGAATGCTTGTTAAATGAATTAAAAGTAATGTTGTATCTAAAGTACTTAACTCATAATTAGTAATCAATTAATATTAGTTGAATCTAAGTCCGGAGTCAGGAGATGAGTGCTATAATGCTCTTGAACTCTTCCCTTCAGGGCCTGAGATGATTGTTGTGAACTCTGGGATTCCAAGAGACCTGAATTCTCCTGATCCTCTCACTGTGCGTTTTAGGGTAAATAACTTAATTTCTCTCACCTTCATTTTCTCTGCAACAGTATGAACAGTGTCTATAAGCTGCATTATGCATATTGAAAAGAGTTATTGATTGAAAAATATGAGATTTATTTACAATAAGCACATATTCATGTATTATTTGAATAATTAAAACAAATAAGTTGAAAAAGTAAATGCAAACATCTATAAGAATAAGTAGACTAAACCTACAAAGGTAAGGACAGGACTGAAAAAGAAGCTGGCTGACTTTTTATTTTTATTTTTTTTAGGCGAGGCAACCTTTGGTTGACCTCACAGATTGCAAAGACCTTGTCATTTTACAATTCCTTATTTTTTAATTTTTTTACGCCTACAGTGCCTGGTTTTCCTAGGTGGTCTCCCATCCAAGTACTAACCAGGCCCAACCCTGCTTAGCTTCCGAGATCAGATGGGATCGGGCTCGTTCAGGGTAACATGGCCATAGACTGGCTAATTTTTTAATGACCTTAAATTTCCTTTTAAAATATGTGACTTCATAACTTGGCCCAGCCTCTCTTTCATTTTTTCCCCAACTTTCTATCGTCCTCTACTGCTCAGGTGTTCTCATTTTGCATACAGTGAATCAGCAAATATGATTAAGGGAAAAGTATTATTTGTGGCCTCTCCTTGACCTTAGTTATCTATATCACTCTCACCAAGATTTGCTCTATTCTTGGTCCTGTGACCAGCACAAGGGACATAGAGCTCATAGCTCATAGATTTTATGCCATTATGGGCATAACAAGAAACATTTCTGGAACAGGAATGACTGAGCCAGGTACTCTGCTAAGCACATTGCATACATGAACTTCTAGTCCTACTGACAGCCATACAAGCTGCATTACAGAAGAGGAATCAGGCTCACAAATATAATTGATTCAAGATCACAATTTATTAAACATGACATGTGGATTCTGATTAAGATCTGTCTGCTCTCCAAAGCCAGTGCTTTTTAACTACATTTGACCCCAGAATAAACCAAGTGGTGTAGGATACTGAAGTGGGAGCATCTAAATCTGCTTTTGGGGTGTGTGATTGTTATACCTGAGAAGACTTTACAGAGGAGATGATCTCCG